AGAATAAACAGACATGAGTACATATCTAACTACCTAGCTATATACATAACATTCCTCAGTACATAGGAGGGGTACTTACAGACTTTGGGGGTCTAATCAAGCCCATATATGAAAGAGGGAACAGCATCCCACATGTACTTGCATTGTAGAATTTCTTCAGTCTGAAGAGATGAGGTCACTTCCTCCCAAGTTAGCAAACAGGACGTCCCTAGCCTTAAAGGGACAGACACTGCTGAATCGCACATGCCACTCCTCATCTAAAAAAAATCGCATGCCCGCTTCCCGCCTGCCGCCATTTCTCAGCTGGACTTTGGAGAAGAAATATTAGCCTGCCTCTTCGCTCTCCTCCACCAGCACATTTACTTATAGAACTCTGCTCACACAGGCCACACAAAGAATTGACATGTTTGCTAGCCTAGTACTATTACTCTGCCACTGGTATTTTTGGCATTTTTGTGGCATTTTTGAAACTTGTATTTGAGGGTGCAAAAAGGCCACAGCAACACTTCCCTACCTATGCCTAAGCCTACTCTGCTCGCAAAAACCACGGAAGTTGCTGTTTGCTAGTACTACTCTGCCAAGGAGATTATTTTGGGCATTTTTGCGTGCACTAAGTTCAGTGTGAAAGTGCAAAAAGGCCATGCTGCTTGCCTGCCCAAGGCCTGTCTGTGTCCTGTCTACCCACACAGGGCACAGCCACATGTATGTGGCTGTGAATGTGTTTCCTACACTACTACCACCACCACTGAAAATATTTGGGCATTTTGTGTGTGCACTAAGTTCAGTTCAGTGCTCCTTCCTCCAATTAGCAAGCTCCAGAACTGTGTAATCACTGTGTAATCAGAGCACCTGAACAAGTTCCTCTGGCGTTAAAGATGAGGATGCCAAAGCACACCCTTCCCCGACCTGAGATGAAGGGAACTTATTCATCACAGATATACAGGAGTGACAGGTCCAGCTGGTTTAGAAATAACAGTCCAATGGTCCTGAGGTTGCCACCATTTAGTCTATGTAAAAGCTAACTACAATAGATTATGGGAAGTGCTGCAATGTGTTTACACCAGTGTGGTCGAGTTATAATGGGTATGTTAAAGGAGAAGTGCAGGAAGCCAGGAACAACTAAGGGATGTGTCCGGGATGGGAGGTATATTTGTCCCAGGTTCATGCTTTACACTGACTGTTTCTCCTTTGGTGCTGTGTAGTGAGCCTGTTTGGCTCGCTGATGATTTCATGAGCTCACTTGTAGTAAGTTAACGGCTCTGGGCGCTATAAAAACTCCCAGGCTGCCTTAGAGAGAAGGCTCCAACTGGGAACCAGTTTGCTGTGCAGAACAGACTGGGGAGCAACCAAACAATACTGTGGTGAGGAGGAAATCTGTGTGACCTTGGGCTGGGAGACGCTCTGTGTGAACACCCTGTGTCTGAGCAGCGCTAGGCTGTATCCAGACAGGTAGATGGTAACCTGTGTTTGCAGTTAGATGCCCAGAGTGGCAAGGCTTTATTTTCAGTTTTTGTATTCTTTTGCTGTTTTGAATATATGCACCTTGTGCTCACCAGACTTGTAAATAAACCACAACTTTCTTCACCAAGATCCTGCTGTCATGCTGAGCCTCTTTCACCATGCTCTGACTCATCCAGGGGGTCAAGCACAGCCCACTACTGGGCTAATCCCTCACAATACCTACTTACTTCAGTAGGACAATGCACCCTGCCGCATTGCAAATCAGTTGTATGGCTTTGAGGACTACAATAACGAGTTCAAGGTGTTGACTTGACCTCCAAATTCCCCAGATCTTTATCCAGTTAAACATCCGTGGGATGTGCTTAAAAAACAAGTGCAATTCATGGGGACTCCGCCGCACAAATTACAGGTATTAATTGATCTGCTACTGATGGCTTGGTTCCAGATATCATAGCATTCCTTCAGTGGGTCTAGAGAAGTCCATGCCTCACTGGATCAGGGCTGTTTTGGAGGCAAAAGGGTGGTTAATTAGTATGAATACTTTATACACACACACACACACACACACACACACACACACACACACACACACACACACACACACATATATATACATACAGTATCTCTCAAAATTGAATACACCCCTCACATATTTGGAAATTTTATTATATCTTTTCATGTGACAACACTGAAGAAATGAAAGTGCTACAATGTAAAGTAGTAGGTGTACAGCTTGTATAACAGTGTACATAGTGTACATTTGCTGTCCCCTCAAAATAACTCAACACACAGCCATTAATGTCTAAACCGCTGGCAACAAAAGTGAGTACATTCCGAAGTGAAAATGTCCAAACTGGGCCCAATTAGCTATTTTCCCTCCCCGGTGTCATGTGACTTGTTAGTGTTACAAGGTCACAGGTGTGTTAAATTTGGTGTTAACGCTCTCACTCTCTCATACTGGTCACTGGGAGTTCAACATGGCACCTCATGGCAAAGAACTCTCTGAGGATCTGAAAAAAAGAATTGTTTCTCTACATAAATATGGCAGCCTAGGCTATAAGAAGATTGTCAAGACCCTGAAACTGAGCTGCAGCACAGTGGCCAAGACCATACAGCTGTTTAACCACTTGCCCTCCTGAGGATTTACCCCCCTTAATGACCAGGCCTCTTTTTGCTACTCGGCGCTTCACTAATTCAACTAGTAATTGCGCGGTCATGCAAAGCTGCACCCAAACGAAATTTACGTCCTTTTTTTTTCACACAAATAGAGCTTTCTTTTGGTGGTATTTGATCACCTGTGCGCTTTTTATTTTTCACGCTATAAACAAAAAAATACGAAACATTTTGAAGAAAAATGATATTTTTTACTTTTAGCTATAAAAAATATATAGTCTACAAACTATGGTATAGATACTGCAATTTACGCCATTTTTTTGCTATACAGCGCTATGCTAGTTTAACGGACAATTGCGCGGTCATGCAATATGGTACATAAATGAAATTTATGTCCATTTTTTCACACAAATAGAGCTTTCTTTTGGTGGTATTTGATCACCTGTGCGGTTTTTATTTTTTACGCTATAAAAAAAAAGGTTGACAATTTTGAGAAAAAAAACACAATATTTTGGACTTTTTGCTAAAAAACATGTCCAGTAAAAAAAATGTAAAAAATCAAATTTCGTCATAAATTTGGGCCAAAATGCATTCTGTGACATGTCTTTGCAAAAAAAAACCCCAATACGTGTAAATTAATTGGTTTACGTGAAAGTTATAGCGTTTACAAATGGCGGGAAAGATACTCTGATTTTTAATTTTCTTTTTTTATACTAATAATGGCAGTGATCAGCAACTTATGGCAGCGATCAGTGACTTATGGCGGCAATCAGCGACTTATGGCAGGACTGCAGGACTGCAGCGGACATTCTGACACTGGGGAGGAACTGACTTGGGGTCACTAACATCCCCAGTGACATCAATACAGTGATCAGTGCAAAACTAAAACAGTGACACTGTACTAATGGTACTGGGGAGGACGGGATTAACTTTTTTATTCACTGAAAGGGTTAATTGTGTGAGGGGAGTGTTTTACTAGGGGGCAGGGGTGTGTACTGCACGGGGGACACGCTGTTCGGGAGAGATAAACTCTTCTCTCCCGATCAGCGTGTCAGGAGCTGTCAGGGAACTGACAGAAAGCAGAGCTACTGCAGCCCTGCTCTCTGTCAGTGATTGCTGCTAATTGGCGGGACACAGCCGGTAATGACCGGCCGTGACCCGACCCGCGACTGATACCCGCGGCCGGGATCAGCGGAGCAGGTAGGGCGGCGGCGCACCTCTTGTGCGCCCCCTACCTATTTTGCAAAAGCGCATTTTAAAACGTGCTTTTTGCCCAGCCATGCCGCCCTGCCGCCGTATTTCTACAGTGGCTGGGCGGCAAGTGGTTAACAGTACAGGTTCCACTCAGAACAGGCCTCGCCATGGTCGACCAAAGAAACTGAGTGCATGTGCTCAGCGTCACATCCAGAGGTTGTCTTTGGGAAATAGACGTATGAGTGCTGCCAGCATTGCTGCAGAGGTGGAAGGGGTGGGGGGGTCAGCCTATCAGTGCTCAGACCATATGCCGCACACTGCATCAAATTGGTCTGCATGGCTGTCATCCCAGAAGGAAGCCTCTTTTAAAGATGATGCACAATAAGACTAAGGACATGGATTACTGGAACCATGTCCTGTGGTCTGATGAGACCAAGATAAACTTATTTGGTTCCGATGGTGTAAAGCGTGTGTGGCGGCAACCAGGTGAGGAGTACAAAGACAAGTATGTCTTGCCTACAGTCAAGGATGGTGGTGGGTGTGTCATGGTCTGGGTCTGCATGAGTGCTGCAGACACTGGGGAGCTACAGTTCATTGAGGGAACTATGAATACCAACATGTACTGTGAAATACTGAAGCAGAGCATGATCCCCTCCCTTCAGAGACTGGGCCGCAGGGTAGTATTCCAACATGATAATGACCCCAAACACACCTCCAAGACGACTACTGCCTTGCTAAAGAAGCTGAGAGTAAAGGTAATGGACTGGACAAGCATGTCCAGACCTAAACCCTATTGAGCATCTGTGGGGCATCCTCAAATGGAAGGTGGAGGAGCGTAAGGTCTTTATCATCCACCAGCTCTGTGATGTCTTCATGGAGAAGTGGAAGAGGACTCCAGTGGCAACCTGTGAAGCTCTGGTGAACTCTATGCCCAAGAGGGTTAAGGCAATGTTGGAAAATAATGGTGGCTGCACAAAATATTGACACTTTGGGCCCAATTTGGATATTTTCACTTTTGTTGCCAGCGGTTTAGACATTAATGGCTGTGTGTTGAGTTATTTTGAGGGGACAGCAAATTTACACTGTTATACAATATGTACACGCACTACTTTACATTGTAGCAAAGTATAATTTCTTCAGTGTTGTCACATGAAAAGATATAATAAAATATTTACAAAAATGTGAGGGGTGTACTCACTTCTCTGAGATACTGTGTGTATATATATATGTATATATATATATATATATATATATACACACACACAGTATATACAGGTGTTCCAATCACCTCCATGGCCACAGGTGTATAAAATCAAGCACCTTATGTCACGGTGCACGGTGCGCGGCATCAGACCCCAGCCCTTCTCACCAACTCGTGACCGAAGGACCTGCCGACCTCGCACCGTGCTGTCACTTGCATAATAATGCCACTCTCAGCTGCACCCGCCACAAAGATTTTCCAGCTCGCAGGACTACAATCTATGTGCAGCAGCCTGAGAGCGATTGTTACTGGGTTAGGTTAATTACGCAATTATCCCTTCACACTACCACCACCTTTTTACAAAAAGGAGGAAACTCATAAATCTTAGCAGTAACACTATAATATTAATATAAGTGTCTGTAATACACACTGTCACTACAGACAGATGTATTCAGAGGATTATTACATACAGTAGCACTCTTCAGAGACAGGGATTCTTTAGTTTGCATTAAAAGCTTTAGAGACAGTTCAACACTTTTCAGAAAATAGGATTTATTACTAAAAAGGTCAAAATGGTGCAATTATAATATTTACAGAAAAAGATGTAACAAAGATATAAAGAGAGCAATAAAACAACAGAGAAATAAAAGAAAAGTTCAGAAGGCAGAATACTTGCAAAAGTCCTTGGTTTGAGCAGAGTCCAATTGTCCAAACAAAAGGCTCTCAAGTCTCTTAGATGGTTCCTGATGGATGTTAAAGGAGAGCTCATATTTCTGTCAGTCTTTTTCTATCATCTCAAAGAGGTGTCTCCTGATATCAAATGGCCAATCATCCCATTTGGGGATGGGTGTTAGGCGGTAACCAAGGTTATGACCAAACAAGTTCATACTACGGTCAATAACCTTCAATAGGTACAGGTAGCAACTGGCAGATTAATATTTAGAATCATATTCCAAACGCAAAGGTACTAAACATAACATATCCTCGCTACTCCAGATAAAAGAAATTGCTTTCTACTCTCTTGTAGGCGCTAACATAGGGATGTAAGGTGTCATGTTAGGTGTCATGTGACTCATATTAAAATGACCTATCCGAATATATACTTTATATTAATGTGTCCAGTTCCTGCTGAAGTTTATGAATTTGTTTGAAAAATGACTCATGTGGAATGTATGTTTTATGGCACACTCTAGCTCTAATAGCATAACAGGTCATGACTGACTGAGTTATTGTTTTACGGTCAGGCAGAGGAAAGTGGTTTTCAAGCAGACCCCCTGGAACTAGACTAATTAGTGGTTTACAGCCATGCAGCTCATCTAACTGTGTTTTAGATAAGATGCCCTTTGACCTCCATTCACTTACAGCCTCACATTCCATTCAAAAGGGAGAAGGGAGGACAGGAGAGACAACATGGTTGCAACCTAACAAGACGGCTGTTCATGTACAGCATCCATGCCTCTATGGCGCATAATCGTCACACCTAGGCATGCAGACTGCTTCGACAAACATTTGTGACAGAATCAGTTGCTCTCAGGAGCTCAGTGAATTCAAGCGTGTTACCGTGATAGATTGCTGCCTGTACAATAAGTCCATCAGTGAAATTTCCTTGCTACTAAATATTCCACAGTCAACTGTTAGTGGTTTTATAACAAAGTGGCAGCAATTGGGAACAGCAACTCAGCCACGAAGTGGTAGGCCACGTAAAATGACAGAGCGGGGTCAGCATATGCTCAAGTGCACAGTGTGCAGAAGTAGCCAACTGTCTGCAGAGTCAATAGCTAAAGACTTCCAAACTTCATGTGGGCTTCAGATTAGCACAACAACAGTGTGTAGAGAGCTTCATGGAAAGGTTTACATGGCTGAGCAGCTGCATCCAAGCCTTACATCACTAAGTGCAATCCAAAGTGTCGGATGCAGTGGTGTAAAGCACCCCACCATTGGACTCTAGAGCAGTGGAGACATGTTCTTTGGAGTGATGAATCACGGTTCTCTTTCTGTCTATCTAATGGATGTGTTTGGGTTTAGCGTTTGCCAGGAGAACGGCACTTGCCTGACTGCATTGTGCCAAGTATAACGTTTAGTGGAGGGGGGGACTATGGTGTGGGGTTGTTTTTCAGGGGTTGGGTTTGGCTCATTAGTTCCAGTGAAGAGAATTCTTAAGGAGTCAGCATACCAAGACATTTTGGACAATTTCATGCTTCCAACTTTGTGGGAAAAGTTTGTGGATGGCCTCTTCCTGTTCCTTGACTGCGCACCAGTGCACAAAGCAAGGTTCATAAAGAAATGGATGAGGGAGTTTGGGGTGAAGCTTGACTGGCCTGCACAGAGTCCCGATCTCAACCTGATAGAACATCTTTGGGATGAATTAGAGCAGAAACTACAAGCCAGGCCTTCTCGTCCGACATCAAGGCCTGACCTCACAAATGTGCTTCTGGAAGAATGGTCAAACATTCCCATAGACACACTCCTACACCTTGTGGACAGCCTTCCCAGAAGAGTTGAAGCTGTTATAGCTGCAAAGGGTGGGCCAACTCAATGTTGAACCTCATGGACTAAGACTGGGATGCCATTAAAGTTCATGTGCGTGTAAAGTCAGGCGTCCCAATACTTTTTGGCAATATATATATATATATATATATATATATATATATATATATATATATATATATCTTAAACTAATTCCACCTTTGTTGAAAAAAATAAAACAATTACAGATTCCTTGTGCTGCTCCAAAGAAATGGCTGTTTGTTTCATCAGACTTATTGCAGACTGATTCTAAATCGGAGGGTCTGATTCATTATAATCAGCTGGTACACTCTCAGTGTTCTAATAAAGAAAGAGTCTTGCATCCTTTTAGAAGTACCCTTGTAGAATATCTCACCAAAACTAGAATTTCTGTTGCAGAGGATGCCAAAAATATGACTTGTATCTTAGTGTAGACTTCTGAAAAAATCAGTGAGCCAATCACACAAGAAGGACATTTTAATGGTACATTTCTGGGGGCTTTCTGTACATCAACAGCTTATAGAACACATGTTGCCATATTGCATTTAAAGTGTTACTAAACCCACAACAGTAAAACCAGTCTCTATATGCAATAAAGCATGCTTGTTATACTCACTGTGGAACTTAAAAGGTTAATCCTCTGCATTCTGCATCAACAGCTTATAGAACACAGGTTGCCATATTGCATTTAAAGTGTTACTAAACCCACAACAGTAAAATCATCTCTATATGCAATAAAGCATGCTTGTTATACTCACTGTGGAACTTAAAAGGTTAATCCTCTGCATTCTGTAAAAAGGCTGTTTGATCCTTTCTTCTCTGTTCCTTCCCTTTTTGAAGCAAACACCTGTTGTCTCCTGATAAGACAGACTGAACCGTAGGCATTTGCACATGCTCAGTTTGGTGTGTATTGCTAGAGAGTTTTTTTTTTTCTTGGGAGAGTGCATGGGATCAACACTGTCTAGATAGAGATCAGGGGTTTTGCATCCTCCTAGAGCAGAAAGAAAACTCCTCCTACAAGCTTTAGCTAGTGCTTGGCTGAACACTTGTAGAAGTCACATGACTGCTCTAACTGCTGATGAGAAAGGTATTTAGCAGTTCATATTTATTAAATTGCATTTCCATGTTCTGTGTACTGTGGGAGACCAGATATAGTAGATGCAGGGTCCTGGGTTTTGTAACACTTAATTTTACAGAAAGTTACAGCAGCTAGTGTTAAAACTGTCCCCTCCCCCATCCTTAACACTTATGCTAACTAACCTGTGTAAAAAAGTTTTATATACTTACCTATTTTCAGCTGGTCTGGTCACATGATACTGCTCCCCTGTTTGAGTGGCTGCAGGGGAGAGGAGGAAGTGATGACAACGGACAGGCCATTGACGTCTATGAAATGCATCACCTCTCCAGGCTTCACTAGCTGTTATCAGAGTACTCTCTCTTCTCTCTGTAACTGCCACTTGTTGACACATTGGGGTTTATTTACTAAAGCTGGAGAGTCCAAAATCAGACTCCCTTCTGCATAGAAACCAGCTTCTAACCTCAGCTTGTCATTGAAGCTTTGGCAATGAAACCTGGAAGCTGATTGGTTTCTATGCAGAAGGGAGTCTGATTTTGGACTCTCCAGCTTTAGTAAATAAACCCCAGAGGATCACATGACTGGAATGGAGTGAGCTAAAAAAAAAAGGTAAGTATACAGATCTTTCTTACACAGTTAGTTGGCATAGGTGTTAGGAGGGGGCAAATATTAAGGCTAGTTCTGTGCAAGCTGGAATTCCACTTCAAATTACAATATGCCCTATGTAGCAATCATATAGTATTTTTTTAATTTGATATATTTGTTTCACAAAAGTAAAAAACAAAATCTCTAATAAAATAACTTTAATGGTAGAAATAAATAAAATTGTTGTTTGCACAAACACCTATTTTGGAACATATTTGCTCAGGGTTTCTAGTAGCATTATTTAAATACAACAATGTTTTCTTATGTAAAGTAGACTGAAATAAACTTCTTTTTGTCAACAGTTCTCCTTTGAAGCAGCTAAAAAAAAACAGGTCTGTTTAGTGTTTGAACTGATAGAGGTTTTTGGGTGCTCCTGCAGAGCTGTTACTGTCAATCACCAAAACTTAAAAGTGACAATACCTAATAAAATTGACACTAAGTAGTTTAAAATGTGCTGCTGCTATAGGGATTTTTTTTTTTATTTAGAACCTATTGCACATTTTAATGGGTGCCATTAAAATTCAATTTATGGTTACTGCATTCAAGCTGTTTGTATAATTGAAGTTATAATAAATCAAGTGCTAGCAGCGCTAACAGCGGGAATTCACCTGTAGTTCTAATGCTGCTGGGGATCTAAGGTACAGACCCATCCTTCAGCCTTGTTCAGCTTCACCTGCACTATATATTTACGGAGCAGTAAGTCTGACTGTAATATTTCTCATCTTGAATAATAATAGAGATAACTGTTCAATATATGCTGTTTCCTTCAGTTGATTTAGTTAGCTTTTTAGTTAATGAAATCAGATCCATTTTAATTAAATAGCTCATTAATGTAAAACAGACCTTGTACAAAGACGCTTTTTGTTTAATTTCCAGATTTTGTGCCAATTGTCAGTTGTAATCCTGATTAGTTAGCACAATTGTGGAATCCCACAGCTTCATATACTGTACATACTACAGTACTATTTCTAAACTAGAATTGATGATAGCACAAGCAAGTCAGTTCTCTCTCTGTGGTGTTAGTATTGGGCTTCAACTTTAGGGGTTTTAAAGTGATTCTAATTAAATTAAACAACAAAACAAAAAATGTCTATACTCACCTGCTGTGTGTGGTTGTTTTGCACAGAGCAGCTCGGATCCTCCTCTTCTCGGGTCCCCTGCTGGTTGCTCCTGGCCCCTCCCTCCTGTCGTGTGCCCCCACAGTAAGCAGCTTGCTATGGGGGCACCTGAGCATGTGCACTCCCCAGCCGCTGCTCCATGTGTCGATTCACACAAAGAGTTGTGGCTCAGTCCCGCCCCCTCTCTTCTCATTGGCTTACTGGCTGTGATTGCCAATGGCTCCTGCTGCTGTCTCAGCCAATAAGAAGGGAGAGTCCCGGGACAGCCGAGACTCCAGTGCACATGAATTGAGAGGGGGCTTAGGTGAGGGGGCTGGGGGGATATAGTATGCATGAAGGTAAAAATCCTTGAGCCTTTACAACCACTTTAAGTGTATCCAAACCAAAATGTTCTTTATTTTAGCATCCGCTGCTTTTTGTTTTTTTTTTTTTTGGTGGGTGGGCTTTTTTTCATTTTATTTTTACCTGGTGATCCTGCCTACAACACATATCCTGTGATAGGATGACAACACTTCCTCACTGTGCTGTTTTTACAGACAAGCAGTGTTGTCACCCTAGGACAGAATTTCTAAAGGACTTCAGGACTCCTCATCTCTACAAAATGGGAGAAATGTTCTGTCGTCCACAGAAGTGAGCTGGGTAGGGCTGATAACAAATGGGGTGATAGGTGCAGCATATGAACCTGTGGGATCATGAGCTTTATTTGCACTGAATGACAGATATAAAAAAAAATTTCAATGTTACATTTATATGATAAAAACCCCCTGCTGCGCTATTCAAAGATATCTAAAAAAATACAGTTAAATAGTCAGGAGAGCAGCTATCACTGCAAAACGTGCACTCATCACACTACAACAGAAAAAATATTACAAACAGTGAAGTGCTATCAGTCGAAAGACACCAAATCAATAAATTATAAACACTATCTAAATAAATGTATATACTGTGTGTGTATATATATATAGTATATATATATATATATATATATATCTGTTAAGATATGATAATGAGTGACAGTGAGTGAAACAAACCTAAATACATCAAAAAAGGACCATAAAAATGTGCAAAAAATTGCACTGAATCATTCATACTCAAGATTGGATTATATAATGATCAAGCATAGACAATTGGAGTCATTGGTGAGTTCCAATATAGAGGTTATGTCTATCTCTGATCATGCTCCTGTCACAATGCGACTACGGGTAGGGAGGAATCAGGATAAAATAAATAGACTAAATGAGATGCTTCTACAGGACCCAGAAATAGAGAATAGGCTAAGGTAGGAAATTGAGCAATTTTCTCTGAGTGTAATGAGACCGAGGAGGTCTTGGTGGCCACAAT